TGTCTCGATTTATTTGTTTTATCTTGACTCTATACTACATGTATTGATCAGTACGCGAACTGATATATATCTGGCGTACATGTGTATATATATACGATTACAATCATGTGATTAACTATAACGTAACTAGTTAAACAAAGATGCATTGTCACACAATATCATATAATGTTACAATATGTACCATATTCTTTCTGTCTCATTCAAAAATATTCCCACTACTTGACAGCCATTTTCCCATGGATATTGAGAATAACACTGTAAACATAAACTTTCTGTCTTTCCATTTGTACCATTATATTCTTTCTATCTCACTCAGGTTTGCTTGCATGATGCCAGCATCATTGACTATTGTACCAGATATCAAACTACCCATAGTAGATGGACGACAGCTTAACCCTGAAAACTGTGTCAGCTCTAATAAAGAGGTTTGTCTGAAAAACTCAATATTTAAAGTCATATTTTTGTACTTTCTCACTAATGGACCACTTCGGCAATACAGCAGCCATCTTGCTAGAGGGCAAAACAAAACAAAGATGATGAGTGTTTGACTTTCGTTTATGGGTAATGCCTTGTAATCCAAGATGGCCACCTTATCATAATTAATAGCAATTTTGTTATGTCCAACCAAAATACACGTAGTTAAAATTTTTTGTCAATGTTTCTTTTCCACTTTTTATTATTGTGCAGATTAATGTAAAGAATGATCAAGACCTTCGTCTACTGTTAAATGTCAGAGATTCCAATGGTCGTCTCTTTGATAATATTACTTCATTATACATCACCTGGTCTACTAGTGATAGAAGACTGGCTGGCATTATTGGACCTGCCAAGTCTGTACACATGATGTTTGTCAAGCAAGGAGAAAATGAAGATGTCAGAAGATCTGTCTGTGAGTACAACAAACAAATTAAGTTTGTTATCTATGGCATTTTTCATGTGATGGGTTTCCTGTGGTGAGCATTTTTGTTGTTGGGAGGGGATGGGTGGGTAGGATTAACATGCCATCACATTGAAATGGCTTTCCATCATCTTCCAGTAATTCATCTTCTCATAATGTATCTAGTCACAGCTACAGTAACATATAATATGGCTATACAGTATGACTTTTTTGTATTTAAGTGTATATGGAAACCCCTCCATACAATATAAGGGCATGTCATGTAATTCAGGATTTCCCATCCTTACAAAAGCTACTCTTGCCTGCACTCTTTACAAAGTATAGTATAATAAAATCCTGTTTTTATTGGTCAAATAGCATATCAGACTGTACATCTGAGTGATAAGATGGGGGGAGTCGTGATCAAGGCAACTATCGATGGTTATGACTGTAATGTATTACGAAGATGTCATATGGAGCTTCAGGTTAGTCATGCCGTTGACCCTGCCATTATTGAGGTCTTGAATGTTGACATGATCAAGAAGCACTTGCCATATACTGAGAATGTTGTTACAATTATGTCTTAACAAACTTTGTTTTAATTAAGAAGTTTCAATTTCAATTATCAAAGAAGACAATCCGCAGAGAATCTTTTCTTCTAGAAGGCTTGAACAAATTTTCAAATGACAGATATCCCTGTTTTCCTGGGTTACTTGGAACTCAGAAATTTTCTTTAAACAGCAATTAAAAAATAGATAATTTTCATTCCCGCTAGCTAGCGGTAATGGAATAGCTATAAAATTTTTTTAATGTTTTGACCTTTGATTGTGTATATCAGAAAGAAGTGGTCTTTCAGTTCCGTTAAATTCATCTTCAATCGTGATTGGTTACTTTTGGACAGCTAGAGTTTCGATCATGCATATCTAATTAGGAGGCGTTTATCCAAATATCCTTCTTCCCCTTCTCGCTTTCTCCCCCTTCGCTTCTTTTTTATGCTTGGTTTCAATTCTCGCTCGTTCACACTCAGGGTGTTGACCATTTCCTAATCCAGTTTTTCCCTTTATTATTTTCTTCAGACTCCATCTAAGATATCCCTGAGTGGACACCTGAAGCTGCTGCTGGTTCCTGAGAGAACCATACTGCCTCCTTCGGCATCAATACTCAATCACCCTGACAACAAAGTGACATTTCACATCCAGGGTGGTTCTGGACATTTCTCTGTCAAAGGCAGCGACTTGTCCATAGGGACAGTCATCTATAACAGCAAGAGAGATATACAGGTATGTTGTCTATATACCGATATAGCACACTGAACTACATGGTGAATTTATATTGGATTTTTGTCTAGTTGAGAAAGTGTGGGAAAGAATTGAGTTGTGTATCATGTATGATAGCAAGAGAAAAATAGTATGCTGACTGCGTTACACTGGGAAATGAAACTTGGATTTCTGTGGAATCATTTTCGTTGCCATGGTAATGCTGATCACCAAATCAAACCCATTTTCAGAGGTGTGTCAATTTCTTGATGTCAGATTTTGCTTGTCATATTTTTCAGAATCTTAGGAAGTTGCCAAATGAAAGCCTTTGGAATTGTAGAAACTAACCTTAAGTTTCCCTTATCAAATAATGTTACTGTACTTCCTATGATTGATTATCTGTAATACTAATTACTTTGAACTCTTTCCTCATCAGGTCAGCCCTAAAAATGAAGGCCTTCTCAGTGTGGTAGTATATGATCTGTGTCTAGATTCTCCCCACCCTGCTACTGTCAGTATCCAGGTGTCAGACATACACAGTGTAGATGTAGCTGTTGCTAACAAGGTACTGTCAAATAATCTGTTTATTCATTGTTTGAACAGATTCCTCCCTTTAATTGCTCAACCTTAGCGGTAGTCCACTAGTCTGGGACTAGCATAAATTGCCTCTGTGGTCTATCATCAATGCTGCATTCTGATTGGATGAGGGACGTCTAGCTATAAGTTATATCCTACTAGCAGCGAAAAGTGCCAACTTTGTAAACCAAAACATTAAATTTAACTTAAATTCAAAACTTGCTTGAAACTAGATACTATTTTTTTCGACCCAACAAACTACAGACTTTTAACAGACACTAAATACCATAAAATCAAAAATATTTTCAATGTCCCCCACACAAAAAAATTGTTATCAGAGAAAATGGCTGCTCCCCTTCAAATCCCCATCAACCCCCCACATCACAAGTTATTGACACTCCCTAAATGTACGAATTTTCGTATGTTAATGTTGCAGATTGAATTAGGATCATCCACTCCACTGAAGGTCAAGCTCCTGGACATGTTTGGAGTGCCATTACTGTTGGGAAACTATGCTTTCATGAGAATATCACCACAGATTTCTCCTAACATCCTGACCATCAGGTACAACAGGTCAATATGATCATATGAGAGAATACCGAGAGAATACAGTATTTCCCAAAAATAATTTTCAAATAGCAATTACTAATAGTGAACAGAGCGTTTTCACTCACGTGAGAAGGCAGCCATAAACAATAGAAACTTTCTGCACCGTATTTGCATAAAAATAGAGTTCAATTCCCGGAGGATAGAAAATGTATTGTTTTGGTACACCAACATGGCCACTGTGACGTCACATGAAAACACTCTATAGTAAACAAAAAACTGCTATCTGGCTTTAGTAATCTTCAATTTAATTGCAGACATCATTTGTCAACAACCTGTTGTCACCCATAGCTGTTTGATCTGAGACACTTTTGGTTTTATTTTCCTTCAGCTTGTTTGCTTTCTTTTTAATTTAGCCATACTTTTTAAGTCACCAAACCAAAAGTTCACAATCATTCATATCCCTCGTAGGAAAGATTCTGGTCCAGGAAAAAATGATCCAAATGAAGAGGTGTCTCACTTCATTGTCCAAGGTGTGTCTCTTGGAATGGCAAGTCTGACATTCACTGCAACATCTGTTACTGGACGGTCAGCTACTAGTGAACCCAAGGACATACAAGTGTTCCCTCCATTGAGACTAGACCCTAGGGTTGTAGTGATGGTCAGAGGTGCAACCTTTCAGGTAAAACTGACAGAAGCTCATTGACTTTTCTAGCAAAAATAATGGAAGGGTGGATGAATAAATAAATGAAGAGATAGACAGGTGGATAGATGGAGGGACAGATAGGTGGAGGATGGATGGACGGACGGACAGATGGACAGATGGATGGATGGACAGAGGGACAGAGGGATGGAAGGAGGGATGGATGGATGGATGGGTGGGTGGGTGGACAGACGGACAGGGAAATGAATGAATAAATACAGAGATGGATGGATGGAACAGATGAATTGATGATAGAACCGCAAGAGAGATGGGTGAGGTGAAGGACACATACAAGAATGTTCACATGAATGGACAGAGAGATGGAGAAAGGCTAAATAAAGCAAGTAAAGACAGAGGAATAACACCTGTGTAGCACCTGCCTTATGGCAAATTATCTAAAATAAAATAAACATCTTTCATTTGCAGGTTCGTGCCACAGGGGGCCCAACACCTCAATCAACCACATCGTTTGTGATGGGCAACAGGACGGTAGGATCTGTCAACAGTGTAGGTCTTGTTGAGGCTCTCAATGTGGGTGTGTCCAATCTGACAGGTGTGGTACAGGCCTCAGATCCACAGGAAGGACAAGCCATTGTATATTCTAAGGTAACGTCTCGGCTGTTGGACTCTTCTCTCCTGTTACATTACATACCATAAAATCCCATTTAAAAGCCCTCCCAGTTGCAAGGCTGCCTGTAGTATCTCACATTTATGGTGATGATACATAAAGGATTAACAATTGGATTTGTTAAGATATTTTTATTATAATATGGAGATTGGCTCACCAAAGCTCATTTCTAAGTTGTTGATATTTTCTATAAGCATAGATTTATGATGATATTCTTATTGATTGAGAAAATAAATTATGATTTCCTCATCATACCAAACTCTTTTTCCTTTTGGTTATAAGCCCCCACCCTCTACCTCCCCCTCCATCTCTCCAATCTGATTATAAGCCCCTCAAAAATCCCTTATCAATGAATGAGTATAAGTCTATAGCTTATAATAACAGGGATTGCAGTGCTCACATAGTCTTTCTTTCTTATCTCCAGGATGTTATAATGGTACATGTGGTTGAGCTAGCTGGTGTTCGAATATCATCCACATCAACCAACCTTGTCACTGGTACAAAGGTACGTGCTGATTCCCTAGCTACTTCTGCTCTTCAAAAACTTAGTATGATGACTGTATAATTTAAAACAATGATTACAGGCATTCCTGCATGTATTTTCAGTATCATGAGAAAACACTTTTTATGTCCCTAGTTGCACACTTGCAACAGTTCTTGTTTTTAATCTGCTCATGAGAAAAGATGTAACTTTATTCATCACTTTCCATACATTGGCTCACTGATCAAACACAGAGCATTCAACAAGGTTACAAGATTCAAATTTGATTAATCCTTTGAAACTTGAGTGCATAGCATTTATCAGAAAAACTTTGTAAGAAATTGCACAAATTAGTAAGCTCAGTAGACCTCAGTACGCCGTAGACCTTAAAAACTTTGCACTAATTTGTACAATTTTGTGAGTCAACTTTTTCACTGATATAATATAGTAGATGCGCTCTACCTTGTTGCCTCTATTTACAGTGCAAATCCAAAAACTGTGGGCACCTAGTAATATTTTAGGAATGTTCTATTGTTCTGTGGCCAATTAGAATTGACTTTCTAACCACAGGATAATGGAAAGATGATAATAACGCTTGTAGTTGGATATTGAACATTCTTGAAATATTTCTAGGTGCCCTCACTGTTTTCAATTCGCACTGTAATGCTTTGTGTTTTGACCAGTGAACCAATGTATGGAACTAGGTTACCTGTATTCCTTAGTAACTTCTTGCTCCCCTGTATTTGTTGGGGCAGGTTTATTCAGGTTTATCTGAATTGTCTTGACAGAACCTTTTTGAAATGTTGGCGGAAACCCATCTTATTCGCGACGGGAACCCATTTTAATGTCAACAGAAAGCCATTTTAGTGTTTTTCTTTGGTGGGAAACCATCTCTGTGTCAACAGAACCCATTTCGATGTCGGTGGAAAGCCAATTTATCGATGATGGGAAACCCTTTTAATGTTGTCAGGAAACCATTTTAGAAGCAATTTGTATGTGGGTGGAAACCATCATAGTGTCGGCTTGAAAGTATTTTGCTGCCAGTGACTGAAGTTTCACTGTTGTTCATGACTGTTCACTTCCTCTCACCCTGGGTACTGGATCAAGAGGATCTCTGCTACTCAGGGTGTGTTACTAGGTCTGTACTGAGGTGTTGTTTTGTGATTTCAGATTAGTTTGTTTGCAACTGGCTATGCACACGAGTCACCATTCACATTTGCTAATGCTGTTCCTGGTCTGGACTTCATTTGGAAGTCAAGCAACCCTGATGTCTGTCAGCTAATGTCTACTTATCATAAGGTATTGTATGTCACTATGATTTGCCTGCCGTTGCCAATCAATAATGATGATGATAATGATAATAATCTTAACTTCATTGACACTGAAAGGGTGACACAACAGTTGACACTGAAACATTTTGATTGAGGGCCACATTTGAATCCTCAATCAAAATTTTGTGTAAAAAAGTATTCATTTTGAAATAGTGGTGTAACTATTGTATATTGAGAAATATTGATTGGTGCCTAAAAATGCACATTGAGAGTTGCTTGGGTAACAGGGGAAAAAACAGTATTCACTAAAATATATTGATATGATTACATTCTTTGTTCTCCAGAGTGGCATATCTGTAGAAAGTGAGCGAGATTTCCATGTTGAGCTACACTGTACCCACCCTGGACAGACAACCATACGTCTGACACTTGAAGTGAGTGATCGACTGTATGGACAAGTGAAGGACACAGCTATTCTCACTGATGAAATAACATTCCAGGTAACTAGTGTTGTTGTGGATGATAATGGGGTTCTATTCTCTCCCCCTCCCTTCCCCTCTAGAGGCAGACTAGAGGCAGGCCCGTTTTACACCACCCAGAAACCACCCACACACCACCCATTCTTTCTGATAAATGTCTACCACTAGTCAATAAAGTGGCTGTGTTTGGTGATTATACTCTGCAGTTTCTTTCTTTTAAACCCGGGTACTTCCAGCTTTCCAATTTGGATAAATTATGAATTACTAGTGTTTAAAACTTTTGCTATTATTTTTTAGGTGTTTGAGCAACTTCAAGTTCTTTTTCCTGAACATGGTTATCTGTTGCTGCCTCACAATGTTAACACCAGAATAAGAACTAACAGGTCAGTACACAACAGACAGTCATTTACTACACCAATAGCAGTAGGCTGGTGCAAAAGTACACAACAGACAGTCATTTACTATACCAATAGCAGTGGGCTGGTGCAAAAGTACACAACAGACAGTCATTTACTACACCAATAGCAGTAGGCTGGTGCAAAAGTACACAACAGACAGTCATTTACTATACCAATAGCAGTAGGCTGGTGCAAAAGTACACAACAGAACAAACTACAACGATATCCTCTCCTGGCTGGTGCTGTTTTTGCAGTTGCTGTTAACGTTATTTTCACTTGTAATTATTGATGGTAATGAATGTGTGGTCTGCAAGGAACACAGCTGTATTGTACGAAAGTAAAGAAGGTCTATTGCCTGTTGTTAGTGTTACTGTTGCTCTTTTCTGGTGTTGTTATTCCATGGTTGGCCTTGCTGTTGCTTTAAATCACTATTAAACCTCTCTTCCTTCCAATTTTTCACCAGGGATGGTTCTGCACACATTACCTACGAGCTCATCACAGGCTGTCCACAGAACAAGAGAATCACCACCACCACCTCATCCGTAGTGTCTGTCGATAAGGGTGGTCGAATATCAACCAGCACAGTCTCTGGGACAGCAGCAGTCTTAGTCACTGTACATGAGGAGTTTGGGACAAACCAGACTGCCTTGGTGCATGTACAGGTGAGTTAACCACCTCCCTGGCTACACCCACTTCACGTTGGATGTTTACACTTGTTTCAGAAAACGTTATCGGTCGAAGATATGAGATGGGCGATCTGAGACTAAACAATTTTTCTGCTTCAATTAATGTTTTCTGACTAAAATACGAAAATCGCATTACAATCTAAAAGGAAGCTACGTTGTTCGACTCAGACTTGTTCAGATCTCTGACCGACAACGTTCATGGAAACAGGTGTACCCGCCGGCATAAGATGAAGGCTTTCAGGGATAAAGCTCTCGTTCTTACCAAATCTAGATAAAAAGTAAAAAGTTATGCGGAAACCATGGTCAGGAGTTGAGTCGGTGGTAAAGAATACTAAGATTACTTTTCCATAAGTATTTTTGCTATGTTAAGAACAGACATAATCGTTACGTATAGTGCGCTTTTGTACTTATGTGGCTTAACCTATGTGGTACTACAAATACATGAAGTATCATCAGAAGCAATTGGATCTGCGAACTAGCCGTGCCCTGAATATCAGCCCAGAGGTTGTTACAGGGTTCGATCTGTGAGATAGCCTTGCCCTGACTTAAATCATCCCAGGGGATGTTACAGGGTTCGATCTGTAAGTTAGATGTGCCCTGACTTATATCAGCCCAGAAGTTGTTAAAGAATGCACAGCTTCAACAATACAAACACTTTGGAATTCCACGGACCTACAATGGAACATATAAATACTCTGAATGAAATCGAGGTAAACCCTGCAACAACTAACTAGAAACTGGAGAATTCCTCATTTACTGCAATGAGAACGAGACACCTAATAGACCCGTTTCAAATTCCAAATTACCGCTGTGTTTTTTGATTACAGACTCATTTACTCAGACTTAGCCTTGATTTTGTGAAGAATATTCACGTTTTCCAGTCAAGGTCCGTCAAGTTTCAAAGTGTTCGTATTGTTGAACTTGTGCATTCTTTACTTTACCGTTGGTATTTGCGAGTAATTAGGCACTGATTCGAGGCTAAGCCTGAGCAAATGAGTCTGTAATCAAGGAACACAGCGGTAATTTGGAATTCGAAACTGGTCTATTAGTAGTGTTGACGAAAGGGCTTCCTTATTCTTTTAGGTGAAGGCTGTGTCGTCACTATCCATCACAAGTCAGTCACATGTGCGTGCAACGTCAGGCAAGCTACACTCATTTCCTCTTGGAATGAATGCACTGTTTGTGGTTGTTCTCCATGACAACATTGGAAGGGAATTCCATTCGGCAGGGATACCACTGAAATACCGGTTAAACAGGTTTGCTATTGGTTGTTTCCTTATAAGGCTAAGTGACTACGAATGGTTTCGAACTTTTAAGTTGTGACGTATTTCCGGGTCCAACTGCTCACAAAAGCCGCTAAAACAATAGACCTATCCCGAATTCACTTGACTGACCACGAAACAATGGTTTGAAGTCGAGACTGGACTTGATTCTTTTATTCATCAAGTTAAACCTCGACTTGAAACCATTGTTTCGTGTTCAGTCTAAGTTTCATTTAAGACAATATTTTGGGTCAGCAGTTATTGGCTTAACGCTGTTGCGGTCACACTGTCATATATATCACAGTATTTTTTTTCAGTTATCATATTTCCAGTTTAATATATGGCGAAACTAATAATAAATAAATAAATAAATAAATAAGTCAAGCAAATTCAGGACAGGTCTATTACCGTTAAAAACCTGTTAACAATTAGAATTTGGATAACAAATCTTATCATGTTCAAGAAAAAGTAAGGAACATCTTCATAGAACTGCTTTTCGTTTTGGACCCAAAAGTCGTTTTACCATACGAGTTTTTCTTACAAAGCAGTATTTAGGTGCTAAATTACACATTTCCCCACCCCATACTATGTGGGATACGTAAATAAGAGCGCATGCGCAGATTTGGTTTGGCGTATTGGCTACAATGATGAGACTTAAATGAGATTCCTTAACAAAAAAGACAGTGTTTTATCTATCATTTGACGCTATTACTAGCTATTACTTATTTTTTCTAATACGTTTTCTAATGGCTTACTGGTTAGATTTGATGCAGTCCACATCGTCCCAGGATCAGAAAACGGTACCTTCTTCGCCCGTGCCTTGAATACAGGARAAGCCATCTTTAAGGTCAGAATCTTTTTTGCCTTGTGCTGTTCAGTCTTCATATTAAGATTTTGATTGATTTCAAGAAAGTCTCCTCTGCAGCCGTCATTAATTTCGGTCCCAGATCCTCACGTGCCCGTGGGCCCATCAGGATATGGGAACGTGAGGATCTGGGACTAAAACTAATGACTGCTTCGAAGGAGACTATACTTTGTGTCGTGTTGACCACCATGAACACTGACCACTATGTGCTGTCAGCCAGAAACAATTATTGATAAGAAAAAAAAAAGATTTATAGTAGTTGGTATCATGAATGTTTGAACGCATGCTCGTGTTTTCGTAATCATTTACGCTATGCGAATGGGGCAAACCAATCAATATTAATTGAATAAACCACCTTCTATTTTAACCATTAGGTATGGGATGGTAATTCACCTCACGTGACTGATTACGTCAGAATCAGAGTGGAGTATGGGTTGAGTCCCATGAAGGCTGTTCTACTGTTGGGTATGGCACAACAGTTCAAGACAACCATATGGGCTGATGGTAAGGGTTATGTCTTATACATAATATATTAAGATCTTTTTTGCACTACTAATTTATACCTCTATTAAGCGGCCAACCTACATTTAGCGACCAGCTATTAATGTCCAAATTAATGTTATTAATGTTTTTGCGCTAATTGAAACCTCTGTTAGGCTGCATACCATTTATCCCTGAAACACTTGGTAAGAAATTGCACAAAAGATTAAGTTCAGTAGACCTCATTAGAGTGCAAACAAATTAATCCGTGAAACACTAATTACTAAATAGTACAAAATAGTGCTAATTAAACAATAGAAAATAATTGGATTTGCATGAAATTGTGCTATTTAGTATTACTATAGTTTCCCGGTTTGCACCCTAGACCGTAGACCTACAAAACTTTGCACTAATTTGTACAATTTTATTCAACAACAATTTTGTACAACTTTTTCACGAATATATAGTAAGTACTCTTTACGGGCAACCTATAGTTAGAATTCTTCGATTGCGCGTTACGTCATGGCGGCCATGTTGGTGCCATTTAACAAAAGATTTCTTATTAGCATCCATTGTTAATGGCACCACAATGGCCGCCATGCTTTTGTCTTTTGATTCTCTTAGGAATGCTGGCAATCCATCAATTGTATACATCTAAGAAGTCGACTTCAATTTTAACAACAAACTTCCATATACAGTCTTTGCAACTTCTTTTTATCAATCACATGATAATTCTTCGCTCCATAAAAGCTAGACTACAATTATGTTCTCTTACTAAAAGTTTGTTTTCCAATATTTCCAGGTCAGGTAGGCAAGTGGTCCTCGTCCAACCCTGACGTCGTCACCATTGACCCCAACACAGGTATGGCTGTAGCTTTATCATCAGGTTCAGCAACCATCCACTACAAGATCCCTGGACACTTTTCTGCACAAACAGAAGTCAAAGTCGAAGGTATCTCTACCATTCGTTTCACCTACGACAGCTCCAAAATCATCACTAATGTACCCCTCAAGGATGACCTGGGATATCTCATCCCTGTTGCCCTAAGCAACGACCACAAATCATCGGAACACATTAGTGTCGTCGGTGACAAAGATGCTGTTATCTTGTACGAGAGCCTAGGATCTCTTCCTCAGCGCGTTATGTCTTGTATTCTGAGGTTCAATTACGAGACTCATGGATCAATCCGAGCTCGCGAACTTTTTGAGGCCAAGTCAGGATTACTATCGGGAAGACCCATATGTTACATCAWACCTAGAAGCACGAGCTCAGACGTTACCCTTGCCGCTGCTACTGTGGATAGTGAGTTGAATCTGATCGTCAAAGTCCATGATGAGGTACATGATGATGACCTGTCATCAGATCCTGTGGCGTTGCCTTTTGTTCCAGCATTCGCTCTAAGCACAACAGAAGTGCACTTGAGTGGCGATAAAGGCAAGAAGAAAAGAGTGGTTGTGATTGGTGTACCAAGGCAGCTGTCGGCACTTGTGGTAAGCTATCCAATTGCTTGGTAATAATCAAATAAGAATAGAATTACGCGCACGAATTTTGGCACAAGTAACCAAAAAAACCTAGGGATTGCCGGCAGGCTCTCCTTTTTTCCCTTCCCCCTCCTCCCCATTCCACCAGAGCCGCCACGCAGGCTAGAATGGGTCTTGTTACAATTCAATCTATTATTCGTCAACGCCATTCTGATCGTTTACCCAAATTTCCCCATTAGTGTATTGAAGGGACAGGTCCATCACGGGGACATAGAAACATAATAATTTTTGTTGCCCCAACCCCTTGTGATTGTGTGAAAATAAGCCTGTCATCACCATCATTAACGACGATAATGATGGTAGTGGTCGTGGTTAATGACGAAGACAATGACGACCATGGTGATGATAATTATTATTGATTATGATATCGTCGGTTGTGGTTGTGGTTGATAATGATAATGATGTTATTGTATTTGTCAATGATGATGTTGAATAATGTTACAATAATAGTCATGTAGCATTTTTTTCCCTTCAGGTAAAGCCACACGACAAGAATGTCCTAAAAGTAACAAACGTGCCAGCAGAAGAAAACAACCAAGCACTTTATGACATCTGTGTCATCAACACCCACGAATCCTTCAAAGAACATCCTGTTGAGTTCGTCAGTACCTTAACGGGACAAAAGAACATTGTCTATGTATCATACAAAATAACTGGTGTACCCCCTTTCATTGCCATGGCAACGTGTCCCAACCCTGCTGACCCACGGTGCCCCAAGGTTGAGAAGGAAGTCCACTGGAGACGGTTGTTCTTTTCCTTATTAGGCGAAACCAGTGCCTGGTTTATTGGATTTTCCATAATCATTGGCCTTATTATACTACTGCTTATTTTCTGCTGTAGTGACCGCACTAGAGGAGCCCAACAAGCACAAGGACCATACCAGCCCTATGCACCTGGCAGCCCCTATCCAGGAAGTCCCGCGGGTACCCCCTACCCGGGTACCCCGTATGGGTCCGGGGACTCTGTGTACGGATCCCCTGGAACCAACCATAGTCTAGACGGGTCTGGTAGTCAACGTAGAACTAAGTTTATGAGGTCTGAAGTAAAGCACCGAGTAACGAAGACAGCTGCAGAAGGTAATGATCAGGGTATGGTAGGAGAATCTCCTGGATCTACCTCTCTAGGACGCTACTCTCCTACCTATCCTAGAGGTCTGTACAGTGTCACACAGTAGAAGACCATGTATGAATGCTGCTCTGTCTGGATATAAATAGCATAACAATAAAAATTATGTTAATGGAATCGATACTACGAGAATGGCAAAACCTGAGACAAAACGAGAGAATTTTGCCGGTTTGTTATACCCGAGATACTTTTGTCTAGTGTTTCAATCTTGTACGCGATGTCATTCGCGTTTTATAAAGTCTGCTGTATCCATATGCTGAACTATTGGCTGTACAGCACCACCCAACTTGGTACCGACACATTGTCGATGGAATAGCGATGTATTGACAACTAAATGCCGTAACATTGACTATACGCTATACTTATGGACTTCAACATGAACGTGATTGTACACCTAACGGTTGTCAAACTTACGCTAAAGTTTTGCTTGGACTTAAAAAGCTTACTAATGTCACTTTAACGTACGTAATTCAACCGAATTTCGTAGTATTTGAAAGTGCTTCCAAAATAATCTTGTTTTGACATCACAATGCACAGACAACAAAAAAAGAATTTTCTCTTACTTTGAACAAGAAGAAGACGTTTTTTGACAGTATTGAGAAAACCTCTAGCCGAAAGCAAATGTCATTGTCATCAAGAGCTTTTAAGAAAACTGCCAATGAAACATGAACTACTATGTGGACGTTTGTCTTATCGTGTTTCTTTACTTTGAACAAAAAAATGGCTTTCAGATAGAACAAAAGGCAAAGTTAATATTTGTCAGCGTAAAAACAAATGTGTTTTATGGCAAAGCTTTTCTAATCCTCTTGTCTGTTATTCGCAAAAATATAATTTCATTGTCTGGAAATAATCTATTTGTATTTAAGAGTAAGTTGCTTAGTTTCAAACTATAAAATTTTCATGTTATGGTCTTATTTATCATAATCTTGTGTGCGTTAGAATAGAGAAAATGTAGGACAACCATAATACCTTTTGATATAAAAAGACAATTGTGTGACTCCAAGAATCTGATTAAATAAATATAATTATCCTCATGCAATCTGATTGGAAGTTGAGTAAGCTGAATTAAGGTTGTTGCATGAACTTAACAAGCCTGGAGTCATGGTTCAGTCACCCATAATAATAATAATAATACATAAACCAGTCACCTGGTGTTAAAGTCTAAACAAGCCAACCAACTTGTCATCCCTAATCACCACTGCAACTACAGCAGCTTGGTGCAGCTTGACTGGGTGCGTCTGGCAAAGTTGGCCAGACAGTATAAAGGAACATTAAAATGCCTGATTTATAAATCAGTTCCCTGCTAGCAGATTCTCTCTCCTTGGCAATAGTCTCCTTCACAGTTCCCTGCACCATTTTGAAAGGTAGCCTTTGCATCGAAGCAAGACGAACAGTGAGCTTGCAATGATAGGGACCTGTGAATAATTTTCCAAGGTGTTAAAAAAGGTCTCTATAATTGCAAGCTCACCGTTCGTCTTGCTTCGATTCAAAGGCACGGCTACCTTTCAAGTCGATTTCCGATTTCTTACAATCTAAAGTTTCAATCTACATACACGATCACGACTACGAAAAGATAGTGCCTCTCTTTAAAAGTTAAACACCCATACTCTTTCTCGTTGTCAGGGCCCGGTTGTACGAAGCCTGGATAGCGCTATCCGGTGGATAAATCTTATCCAGTGGAAACATTTATTGGTAAACAGCATCGACTTATCCACTGGATAAGGATTTATCCACCGGATAGCGCTATCCAGGCTTCGTACAACCAGGCCCAGATCTAATTTTGGTTAGGACAAGGGTCTGGGTTGTGATGAGTCTTGTTTGACCGGCTCAAGCCTACATGACTGAACAGAAAGGAACTATATGAAAATCACCAAAGCAGTCGACTCCATATCTGATTAAATATGACTCAGGTTTACAGAAAAGATCTTCGCTGGCAAACAGGCAGTGTTGAAGAAATTAGTCTTTTACTGCGGTTTTCGATATTCCATGTACTCGGACATTTAAACAACTTGTTGTGAAATTGGTTTTTTAGTAATACTGCCATATCATTATAATTAGTATACATATTCATACTTCATAAAAGTCAACTTTTTTTAACATTTCTTTATTCTAACTAGAAATTATTACAGCATTGCAAAAGTTATTTTTGATCTACAGCTATTTCAAAAAAGGTTGAATAGTGCATTCCAAGACCAAAGGGCATTGTGGGTCTCATTAATTTGAAATAAAAAGTAAACATACAGCAATTAACTCTCTACATGTAGTTAGTATATTGTTTTAGATGGAATACACTAAAAATAGAATAAATAATTATTATTAACGTCACTATGACCCACAATGCCCTTTGGTCTTGGAATGCACCATTCAGTATGCAGTATTCAACCTTTTTGAAATAGCTGTATAATAGAATTATTTTCAAATTGCTACCAAAAATAAAATTTCATTATTAAATTTTCTGACCAATTATCAATATAATTATACAGCTTCTCATTAATCCCATATAGGTAACTGTCCAATTATTTTCTTAATTGGACGGGTCTTGCCGATATGGGATTAATTAGGCAGCTATATAATTAATAGGTAATGGGATTTCATGCTCCCCAATCAAGAAATAATTAGACTCGAAAAATTCCTCTGGCTGCCAAATTGGACGGCGGCCTACGGCTCCATCAATTTTGTCAGTCCTCAGAATTTTCCTCGTCCAATTATTTCTTAATTGGACAGCATGGAGTCCTATTACATATACTAATTTTCCTGGACATTAGACATGGTAAAATATAATTCTAAACATTATATAACCTCTAAAGACTGTATCTTCTATCAGTCTAATTTTTTCATCACAGATTAATTCTAGAATGTTGGGATCTTTTATTGCGTATATCACAGTTTTCATAGCTGCCAACTTGCTTAACTTTACAAAAATTTCTCATTATTCTCTTGTCATATTGACCAATGAATAAAAGTATGCATTCTTAATAAATACTTGAAAGAGGGTTTAAAAAAAAGAAGTCTGTGCAATAAATTCAATAAAAGTATGCATTCTTAATAAATACTTGAAAGAGGGTTTAAAAAAAGAAGTCTGTGCAATAAATTCAAAAAATACTTTAGCCACTTTGTACATTCAAATGTTAGTTATTACAGTGTACTCTGGCTAAAATAGGAAAAATCACATTCCTAACTCAAAGGTCATGCTTCATATTCCAATCTAAAAGGAAATTGTTTAGCTGTGAATATATATGATCATTTTGTAGTGTGCTAATTGGTCTCAGATACCAACTATCTCCATCCAACAAGATTTTTGAAACAGGTGTAATCGTAGCGCATTTCTTGGTTATGTGCCAATCTTCTAAGGCTGCTTTCATAATGTATGGCAGAGGGGGGGCAGGTGAAATTGAGGGTGGATCGGGAAAATTTTGGTAGGAAAAAGGGGGGATCGGCAAATATTTACCAGAAAAATGGGGGGATGCACAATTTTTGGAAGAAGCCACAAGCCTTGCTTAGCTATAGCGGGATCTTTTTTTTTGCATGTCTTTAAAGGGGGGGTGTTAAGAATTATTCTGGACATTTCAAATTTTCGTAAGCCCCCCCTTCCCTTCTGCCATACATTATGAACACAGCCTAATATACTGCAATATTTTGTTTGGCAGCCCAATGCATTATCATATTTTAGAAAATTAAAATGAGTTCCAATCCAGTAAGAGAATTTTAACAAAAGCTTTTAAATAATTCTTAATATCTGCCATCTTCAGTCAGTTCAATAATATAATATACTGGTAATTATTAACCTATGGTAATTTTGACTTATGGCATTTGTGTAATGAAAGTCAAAATGTAAGTGTGAAATACTAAAATACAGTAGGCTTGCTTAATATAAACAAACTCTTGCCTCACTATTCAATTCCTGCAGATTTAAAAGCGCCAGGCTTCTTCTTTCCACATTTATATTTAATGGAGTTAAATTATCATCTTGCTTGCTGCTGTTGCTGCCTTCATTTTCCTGCAAGTGGTAGCAGAACTGTTTGTGCGTTGAAACATAATGGTCAAAGAAACGACACTTCTCCATGTGAGCTGCCATTCCTGGGCTATTGGAATGTATCCAGTTGTCAACGGCACTGAAAGATGTGGAGAAAAACCATTTCTGAAAAATAATAATAAAGAAAAACATGGTTCCACTGCTCTAAGTTTTCTTTTACCAGGGAGGTTTGATCAAAGTCAATAAAAATAAAAGGTAAAATCAATAATGTACATAAAAAAAATAGAATTTAACAGTGGCATTTCCACAGAGTGGCTATTCATCTACTGAACCAAGTGACCAAGAGAAAAACCCTTGAACTAGAGAACTGACCAGCAACTCTACTTGCATATGAAAAAGAGTTTGTAAAAATCAAACCTCACAGTCATCTTGATGGGAGCTAGGTGAGTGTTCTCACCACTTTGCAGCCAATGCCTCTCATAATATTAATTATCACACTACACCCTTATGTTTTTATTCTTGTCCAGGGGACCATAGAATGTGTCCAAGGTATGTTAATAGACCTAAAATTACCTTCGTGAGTAAATTGCCCTTTTCAAACCGCATGTGACGTTTACACTATGTTCTCTGGAGAAATGTTTCTTTCAAATATTTTCATATCCACATGGATATAAATGAATAAATTTCAGAAAGATGAAGGAATGATAATTATTCTCAAGAGAGCATCATGTAAACATCATGGTTTGAAATGGGCATCCTACATACAAAGGTAATTAGTTGTATATAAAGCAAGTCACATTTCAGAGTAGATAGATATTCATGAAACTCAATGTCTGTATGGCACCATTTAATATTAATTTTATGAAACAGTAATGATAAAATTAGGTGAGTTATATGCTGTGGAAAATTGAAATGACGTATCGGACGCTATTCCTTCATCGGAGTCAGTTTTTTCATCTTTTCACAGTGTATATAATAATTACCTTTTTATCATTACTGTTTCATTAGAAACACCGACGCAGCTCGCACTAGTTTTTAGCTAGTTCTATCTTCTTATTAATTTCATGGTTAGGGGGCAGGGCTGAGTTAAATTATTTCAAGACAAAACTAGAACTTTTTTTAAAAAAACAAACAGAAAAGGCCATTATATTTCAAATAAAATTATTATTCAATGAACATTTTTCATTCCTGACTTAGCATGAACAATTTGTCTTTCCCCCTTCCTTTCGTCCCTTTACCATAACCACACCCAACAACAATCCCATCCACACCCATGCATAGTGCATAACCATTATTTTATAACCAGCCCCTATTAATTGCAGTAACTGCTAGTCATTAATGGCTCAATGGAGCTAATGAATTAAACACTTGAATATTCTCTAGTGCGAAGCCAACCTCTCCCCCTCCCCACCCATATAATAAGCATTCTTTGCATAATAATAAATATCTATGATCATAATGATTATTTATGATCATAATTTGTCATGCATTTAGCGTCACCATTTTTATTTTTCATAAGCAAAATATATCAATAAAAAATTTAGCATGGATACAATATTATGGTTTTAATAAATAATGTTTGTAATTTACCTTCTGTCTTACTTGCCACGACCACTGCCCATCGTCATAGATCCTCTTCTCCCATTGCAGTGTCACCATTCCTTTTTTCTCCACTATTCTTTGGCATACCTCGCGCAGTGTTTTACTCGTGCGACTCAAGTTACACAAGCTAAAACTATCAAGCATTTCAGCAATTGTCTCTAAAATCTCTATTGGCAGAGAGATGAGGAAATCCGTGTCCGTCTCGTCGTAGACCTGATGAGGGCAATAATCTTTAGGTTTTTGTGGGTCTTGCATACAAGGTCTGATACCAAAGCTCCCCAGGTCTTGGTTAAAAACAACTTGTCCACATTGGTTGCCTGGGAGAAGTCTATGGTGGATAAACGTGCAGCCATACTGCGCTAAAGGGCAACGATGCTCTAACCAACCATTCAACCCCCCATGGATTTCACCGTGGACATTTTTAAAGTGCGAGCCATATTCATTTCTTCGAAGGACTTGATTGCAAGGGATGGAATACATCGGGAGCTGCTTTTGAAACTTGGGTAGCGTCTCCAACATCACATTCAAACCTAACGGCTCCTCTAAATAAATATCTACGAATCTGGGCGGTTTGTAAAAGATTTTTTCACTTTCTACGTTGTCCACTTGTGAACACTCATCCTGGCCGGCAACACTTGAAAGGTCATCTACATGATCTCCATCTTTTCCACGCGATTGAAAACATCCCGAGATGGTTTCAGGACTTAATAAGATATCTTCTTGTATTTTCGAGCACTTTTCATTGTCAGGAACACAGCTTTCGCAGCTTTCTTCACATCCACGTGTACTCGATAGATTATCAAATCTTAATTCACCCGTTCTAGAATCCAGCTGTGAAAATCCATCATCACTTGATATTTTCTCCCTCTCATCAGCTGTGTTTTGAATGAAAATATCGGAATTAGATTCCGTAGCATTTGTTTTCCATGGCTCATCGTTTACTCGTAAAATATCATCTCCAGAATTGGGATTATTTTCTTGTGATTCTATGTTTTGTTTTAGCGGCTTCAACTGGTATTCTAGCGAGGACAAAGCAAGAGCCATATCAATCTGGGAGTTCAATTGTCTGTGATTTCTTTCGCTATCTTTCTCCTGATTCAAACTCGAAGACCTCTGATTATTAAGCCTCAAAATATCCACTTTAGCTTTTCCTTTACGAAGACGTTTTTTAAAGACGTCTTCTAGTACCTTTTGGTCCCGTAAAGCAAGTTCAACGTCCAGTTGGCCTTTTACGAGGACCGGATTGGGCTGGAAAAAAGGTACCCAGCTTAATCTTGATTTTGAATAAAGAGGGTAACGATTCCATTCCATCGTACAAAACACATTACTAGCCGGGCAAACAGCTAAGTGCTTTCCAATTTTATCTCTCTGGATTTTCATAGGACAACCATAGCCAGCGTTTGAACATGGGACGATTTCATTAGGACAGATAAACATATGATCTTCAAGTTTACACCGATGCATGCGGCTACAGCAACGTGAAGGACAGTAAACCATACCGCATATCTTGGTAGTAGAGCAGTTTTGTTTAATGCAGGTTGAACAGTGTTCGTGGGATTCTGTATCCATCGTGGTTTATCCGTGATCGGCTATTCAAGGTGTTTAATATATGGTTAACCTACACTAAAGTCTTTGTCTGGACGAAAAAATCTTTGACTGATCGCAGAATATTTATTTACTTTGATAAAAAATACCGCAAACCAAAAATACCGCAACACTTCACTGCATTACCCATCACCCTTTACGGACTCTCTCCTTATCTTCAAATGAAAAAGTATCCCAACAATTTTTCAGGAAAAAATTAAGAAAACCATAAACAAAATTCTGGAGCAAATTTTCATTTCCTTCGCCTAATTTTTTTCGATGTTTTTCTGTAAACAAGATTTCGAATTTATTGTAATAATATCATTATCTTTTTATGTTTTAGTCAAATTTTCGAAAATAAAAGCTTTGCATGAATCGCTTCTAAAGTGCATGAATATTTTCCTTTAGAAATCGAAAAGTAAGAAAAGGAAAGCGAAAAAAATTGAAAAAATAGAAATACGTACACATATACCCAGAATGCATTTGCCTCCCATGACGTCATTCTGTCATGGCGGAAGGAAGGAAGAGTCCAAATATGAAAAAGAACCACTGACTCAAACAAATGATGTTTAACCACCTTGTTATTCATTAATACCGTATTTTTGTATCGAAAATCAAGAGTTTAAGTATTCAAGATGACTCTTATGGTATTTTTTGGATGTGCTTTGATTGCTTTTGGCCCGGCTTGTGCCATGTTTTCTATCACTGTGGCAGGCGATGCTCAACAAGTCATCGTCTTTATCACAAGGTTTGGTTTACGACTCTTGTTCTTCAAACAAAACTTACGGCATGAAACTGAAATGATGTTTCCTTTATTACTCACTAAACTAGCCTTCGCTTTCTTTAAGATTATTTATTTTTCTGCTTTGACACGACACGATTTTTGTAGAAGAATTCATCACTAAAGTCTGAGATTTTGATTCTCGGTGTTTTGAAAAAATATAAGAAGTTTAAACGCAATCCACGAAACTGAAACAGCAGAATGAAAATATTTAAGTGTTGTTTCGTTTCTAATATTTTATAGTGCATTCTTCTGGCTAATATCGCTGCTAATATCTTCAATATGGTGGTTGGTAGTCTCTCCCTTAAAGGAGCAGATAGCATTTGGGATGACATTTTCAGTCCTTTTCCAAGAGTTGTTCCGATTAGCCTACTATTTTCTATTAAGGTTGGTATAAACTAAAACTTTTATTATCTTTTATAGTATAAGTAGCTTTGACTTAGTGGCACTGGAACCCATCTTAGCTGCTATCAGATATCTCGACTGTTTTCTTTTAACTTTTGCGATCAATGTTTTTATATTTGTCAAACCAAATAGATTTTTTTCTTTCGTTATCTTTTTCCCATCCCCAACTACAGATACAGTAGTCCATCCATTATATTCAATGAATAGGCCACTTTCAAGGATTATATACTTTATAAATCATATCCAGTGGATAAATTTATTGGATAACAGCATATTGACTTATCCACTGAATAAGGATTTATCCATCGAATAGCGCTATCCACCCTTCATACTACCTGTTTTAGCATTTTTAACATATTCTTACATTTGGATCCCAAGCAATGTGTTGTGGGTGTCAATCAATATTTAGGAAGCCCTTTTCAACACAAGTGAAGTGAGTCCTGGGACACATTTGGGTCCCAAGCATCGTCTTGTGGGTGGCAATCAATATTAAGGAAACCCTTGTCAACACTGTTAAGTATGATCATTTAAGTATGATTAACAATCGATAATAAATAAAGATACTAGTGATCTATGTACTGTAACTGACGTTTTGAACATTAGTCTTTGGTCAGCATAAAGAAGCAGCATGTTAACATAATAACTGATGGTCTGCATCACAGCCATTTGCTATGACTGAAGTATATTCATTGTCATTTTCAACATGGGGTTTCTTATATGATGCTTTGATTTATGTAGAAAAGCAGATGAAGGCCTTGTATCAATGATCAATAACCAGTCACCTTTGAGAAAACACAGGATTGCATATGGTAAGGAACGACATATGTTTTGGTGTTAATACAGTGTTTTAGTATGCCAATGCGATTCCTAAAATTCTAACCAATGGTGTTATTTTCTGGTGTGAAGATATCATGAAATTTCTTCTAGATATTTCATCAATGAATATATTAAATGACATAACATGGCATGCATTTTATAGAGCTGCCCATATACTAATAACCTATATGTACTACAATTGTGCTTTTTATTCAGTTGCTGGTCTAGGGTATGGTACAATGAGTGGACTGTTTGCCATGGTCAATGTTCTAGCCGACATTACTGGACCAGGATCAATGGGTCTGAGGGGAGATCCACAGAATTTCCTTATAGTCTCTGGTAAGTCAGATTGACATTCACTACCCCCCCCCCCCTCCCTTCTTTTTTAATATCTCCTAATAATATGTCTTTGGAGACCCGAAAACAGGTATAAACAACTATGTTCCAAGGTTCTCCTCCTCTCTCTGTCTCTAATATCTCCTACTATGTAAATATTTTAATCATATCCTTTTTGTAATCACTACCAAATCCTGCAATCTGATTGGTTCAAAGGAGTGCGATTAATTCCCAAATCGAATTCCCAAATCGCATCCTTAGGAGCTCTTAATCGCATCCTAAAAAAAATTTTTTTTAAACAACAAAATAAAACAAAAAAATCAACAAAAAAAATTTTTTTTAGATGTTTTTTTTTTGTTTGCATTTAGATTTTCTACTACATTAAATTGATTATTCTGCACTCTTTATTGTGTCTTTTTCTTGTGTATGATTACAAAAAGGATATGATTAAGTGGTAACTGAACTTTGTGTCGTGCAATTTTGGACCAAAATCATACTTGTGATTAACAAATTGCACTCCCGCTACGTGGTCGTGCAATTTTGTAATCACTCGTATGATTTTGGTCCAAATTGCACTCCACTCAGTTCAATTACCATCATAAATTCCCCATACCCTGATTCCTCCTATGCACATTCAGAGAGTGTAGTCTGTAAGTGGCTGAATGGATACAGATTGGAGTGCAGGCCCAATGGGCTTAAGGTCAACCATATATGTACATCAGGTTCAGTAGAGTGGGCTATTTAACCCATAGTTCTCATGATGGCATGCATATATGTACGTGAGGGTGACAGTTATTGAGAAAAATTTCCCTTTTGTGACTAGAGTTTTTGTGACTTATGCTCCTCAAGTTTGAGTTAAGGGATTTACATGAAAAAAATTGAAAGAAGTTTACATCAAAAAAGAAGTTATTTGAATTTCTAGCCAGATTCTTGGAGTCAAGTTGACCTCTCTTTTTCACCTTGGTTGTGTCATCAATAATTTTGGCATAAAATACTCCAATTTTGGAATATATGATAACTCTGGCATGAGAGATGCTAACAACTATCATGACTTTATGTTGTTGTCTAACTATAGAAAAAAAATTTGTTTTCTAGCATTCTTGACGTCTTGTTTTGTTTTGTTGAATACCTTTTGGGGAGTGATATTGTTTGAATCCTTTGACAAGAAGAAGAGATGGCTCAATCTTGGTATTGTGGTGTTCTCTCATCTTTTCGTGTCTTTAATGGTAAGTCATTTTTATTTCTCTGTTAAGGTTGTTTCAGGGATTGATAGCTGTGCCCCCTGACTTTTAGATCAGCTCAGAGGTTTTCAGGGTTTGATCAGCAAGTTACCCATGCCCTGACTTACATCAGCCCAGAGGTTTTTTGATAATAATAATGCTAAAAATAAATGATAAAAGTTTCTATCATTATTATCAGCCCAGGGGTTGTTTCAGG